CAACTTTACTAACAAAGGTAGCAAAAGCAAAGTTTAAAACACAGGAATAATTTATAATACGCCCACAGGGCAACATGGTTTTATCTGAAATCATTTTTATGCAACCAGAGTAAGCTACTGGTGTGGTTATTTGTAGACATAGTACATGATTAGGTCTTTCTGTATTATTTCTATTTCTAAAGTGTGTGCACCCATCTCGATCTCGCTTGAGACAAGGGTGACAGAAAATGGACGGAAAATAAAATAAATGGAAGTAAGAGTTTGTTTTTAATTATTATTTTATCAAAGTATTCATAGTAATCAATAACTCCTGTCCATGCATGTATAGAGACAGGAGTTATGTTTTTATTTTGTATGTAAACTTTTTTTTTTAAGTAGTTGTTTATTGGCTGGACTCTGAATATTTATCTCTGTAAACATCAAAATCTAAGCAGCATTTGATTTAATTTGTAAATTGGTGTATTGTTTCCCAGGGGTCTTATAAGGCTGGATTATAACCACTTAAGTAGACATTTCAGTTTTCATACTAAAGTCATTTGTTTAGGTAAACATTGGAAAGAATTGCAGGTTTTTGGCCAGGTTTTTGAGGTCAGCCTGTAATGGAGCTGAGGTTCTAAGGGATGCATTGGGAATAAACATGAAAGTCTATTTGCTTCAACAGACGCTGTCAGCCAACTGGCCCGCCACTGGTTTTCTAGCTTTGTTGACTGGAATGTCTTTAGGAGGCAAAAATAGTTTATATCATTGACAGCCACTTTAACAAATAAACTGGAGTTTATTTCTGACAGATTTTTATTAGTAAAACACATTTTAATTTTTGATGGAATACATACTGTTTTTATCTACTATTTCACTATCTTTATAATGTACAGGTGTAATGTTTTTATTTTAAATGTATTGAAACATTCCTCTCTTCCCTATAGTTATGAGTACCAAACAACTGCCTGAACCTTTGAATTTAGTTGTTTTTTTGTTTTTTTCCGTGCTGAAGTTTGTTTGATGGTTTCCACCAAACTTCCTTTCTTTATTTAGCAAACTCAATCATTGGATGATTACTTAAACACTTAGATATTGTCTGCATGTTGTCCGACGGCAGTGTCTAATTTCACTTGTGCCGCTTCTCCTGTTACCGTAATACGGTAAAGACCTCCAGAGCGTGCAGCACCAGGCTGCATGTAAAACAAATTAGCCAATGAGCTGCTGTCAGTCTGGGTTGTTGCTGCTGCTGCTACTTTTAGACACAGCAGGCAAACCTGTGGCAAGCCGGGCGATGAGAAAGAAGGAGAAGATGATGAGAAAAAGAGAGTAGAGAAAGTGTGGACTGCTGGAAGAACTGCAGTGAACTGGTGATAGAAAAGTGAAATGGTGCTCAAAGATGACCCTGAACATTTAGAGGATGTTTGGCTCAACATCTGCTGTGAAGCAGGATTCTCCACCATGAACAGAATAAAAATAAATATGGATCCAGGCTCAAAATGAGCTCCTTGATATGTGCTTTAGAATGGCTTAGTCTCCATTCAAACCCAGGTTTAAAGCCTTGCAGGGCAGCATAAAGCCCACTGCGAACATTAAGCCAGAAAAAAGAAAGAAAAAGAAAAAAAAACTGGTCAGTTCAGGTGTTTTATAAAATATGTGAATCAGGAAATTGTCTATATACCAAACTGAACAATTGTTGTTCTCTATATAATAAAAAACTTAAGATTTTAAAATGGAAAAGAAAAAAATATTTTTTTGTTTCTATTTTTTTTTATTTAAAAAGTCAATGTGTAACATGGATGCATAAACACCTCATTTTATTTCATTGTAAAAATTATGTTTAAAGTAACAGATTATAATGAAAAAATGTCCCCGGACCTTTACTGGTTATTGATTTTCTTTATTCGCTGATTTTTGATTGGTTACTAATGCTTTAACTCTTCCTGTGAACATTTCTTTCAATGGTGGTCAATACTTTCTATTAGCTTTTGGTATCCTTGGTGTGTCTATTAAAAAGAGAGATTAAAATAGTTGCTCTTACATTTAGGAAAATCAAGGATAAGATTCAAAGTTGTTTTTTTTTTTCATGTGCAATAAGTGGGTGTTCTACAAAAATTGATGTGGAATTGTTAAAACTTGCAAACTGGTTTGGTTCTGCTCCATTAAAATAAGCAGATTGCGTGTTAAACAGCTACTTTTTGAGAAAGATGAGGTTCTAAGCGATGAAGTACGAGATTGGGATGAAAATTATTGTTTAAATAAATAAAAAGATTATAAATAAATAATAAATGATCGAAATAAACAAAATTAAAAAGTTAACAAAATATTTTTTTTAAATCATAAAACATGAGAATGTTGTCTTTGTCTGGTGATTGCACCATCACTGTCACTGTCCCAATGCCTTTGTTGTGGCCATTATGAATACAAAAGTATTCCACTTTCACTGTGCAGCTCACTTTTGACCTGAAAATTCACAAACTCCCAAAAATACATCTTACCAGGGGCTAGCAGATACGTTAGCCTCGACACAGAAATGTTTTGGAACAGTGAAATGCAGTGACGTTTATGAAGTCAACCAGAGGCAGAAAGCTGAAGCAAAACAAACATGGCTGCACCGATTCTAAGTGGAATATCATGTGTTGATTTACCAGTCAACTCCGCTAGTTGTGAAATAAATAAAGCTGCTGATGTTGCTGTGATTGGCTAAACTCAACATGGGAGGCAGGTAACCAATCAAAGAATTTTACTGAATTTTGCTCCCTTTTGTCAACACTTTGGACATTAGGCTTTCTAAATCGATGTGTGTAGATCAATTTGAATTCTACATAGCATTATGGCTTATGCCAGGTTAGTGGTAATTGTTTACATTTGCAAATCTTGAAAATCATGAATGTCATCTGCATATTAATGAAGACAAATAAACTCTGTATCACTTTGCATCTCTGCTGTGTGTACACAAACACATTGATATATGCAAACTTCTAAAGATCAGGCCCCAAAAATGAAATGAGGCTGAGACACATCTTCAAAATGCTCATAAAATACACTTAAAAACAAAGAGAACCAAAAGAGTGAAAACAAGCAAGCAAAAAAAAAAAAAAAAACAAACAAACAAATGCACGTGAAATTTAGTAAGCACTAAAACAGAAAGTGCTGAAACAGTTCAGGAAATGACTATCAGCAAGGGTTTTTAACTATCTGTGTGCATAAAGAGGATTGCCTTTTAAAGCTTTGGGAAATAAACTGTTCCTGAGTCTATTTGTTCTGGACTTAATGTTCCTGAATCCTTTCCCTGATGGAAGTGGGACTAACAATGTGTAGAGTGATTGAAATCTGTAGCCATGCACAAATCTGTGAATGAACTGAATCCCACAATTAGACAGACAAAGCCAGTGGATCAGCTTTCTTTCATCTGAAAGTGCTAAATTGGTTATTTCAAAGAGGCTTAAAGGTATGGTGGGCAGTTTTTTTTTGTAAAAAAGTCCTTTTTTGAACAACAGTACATCCTACCTGCTCTCGAGATTACGGCCTGTCCGCATCATTTAAGGACACTAAATTATTTGCCACTGAAACCGAGGCTCACTGGGTACATAAACACTGAAAGTGTGCAGCGAGAGGATCCTAGCAAGGAGCCATGCCTACATTTTTCATTTGGAATTAAACATTAGCTTTTCAGCTATTTGACAATAGATGCACATGTAAGTGCAATATTGAATAAAAACAGATGGGCCCCAAACCATTTAGGAAATCCCATTGCTGT